TGTGTGTCTGTGTGTGTCTCCTCTCTCTGTGTGTCTCTGTGTGTATGTGTCTGTGTGTGTCTCTGTGTGTCTCTGTGTGTGTGTCTGTGTGTGTGTCTCTCTCTCTGTGTCTCTGTGTATATGTGTCTGTGTGTGTCTCTGTGTGTGTATGTGTCTGTGTGTGTGTCTATGTGTGTGTGTCTGTGTCTGTGTGTCTCTTTCTCTGTGTATGTGTGTCTCTCTCTGTGTATCTGTGTCTGTGTGTCTCTTTCTCTGTGTGTGTCTCTGTGTGTATGTGTGTCTGTGTGTCTCTCTCTTTGTGTCTGTGTGTATCTGTGTGTGTGTGTATGTCTGTGTGTGTGTGTGTCTGTGTGTCTTTGTGAGTGTCTGTGTGTATCTGTGTGTGTCTGTGTGTCTGTGTGTGTCTGTGTGTCTCTGTGTGTGTATGTCTATGCGTATGTATGTCTCTGTGTGTGTCTGTGTGTGTGTGCGTGTGTGTGTGATGTATATTGGACGTGAAGGCTCTAGAGAGGCAGAATAAGTAGTCTCATGTGGGAGGCCTTAGAGGCTCAGAGCAGGGGAGATGGTACTAGACTTCCATATTTATTTATTTTAATTTAAAATTACCACCTGACTGGCTTTTTGAGGCAGAGTCTCACTGCATAGCCCAGGCTGGCCCAGAACTTACTATGCAGCCTACACTGACTTAGATTTCTCCTGCCTATGTTGCCCCAGTCCTGTGGATTCATATTTTTCAAAGATCCTTCTGGTTGCATGTAGAGACTGACTCTGGCTGGTGAGAGAGGAAGTCACAGGGCCTGCAGGGTAACCTCTGGGGCAGAGGCTCATGCCTGTGATGCCAGGGTCATAGCTCAGCTCACAGTGACTGGTGATTTTCTGTGACTTGCTAGGTTTTGATTCTTCAGCTATTCTTCAGCTATAAAGTAAGTGGGGGCTAGAAACATGGTCATGTGTTTAACCTGAAGTGTGATTAACGATTTCACTCATAACAAAATGACACAAGCCAGTACATCTCTACAATTACACAAAGAGCAAATATATAATTTATATACATTGTAGTTTATATTCACTTTAAGGAGGCACTTCCTGGTAAAAAGTGAAGAGTGTCAGAATGGGTAACAATGAGATACAGTGTGTGTGTCAGACGTGGGGCACTAGCCTTTAACCCCAGCACTTTGGAGGCAGATGCAGGCAGATCTCTGTGAGTCCGAGGCCAGCCTGGTCTACAGAGCAAGTTCCAGGACAGCCAAGGCTACACAGAGAACCCTGTCTCAGAAAAACAAAAACAAAAATCCAGCTACATGCTAGGTAAAGGGCACTTTCTAGTGTGTGCGTGTGCGTGCATGTGTGTGTGTGTGTGTGTGTACATCTCTTGTGTGTGTACCCCAGAGGTCACCCTGGGTGTTGTTGTCAGTCACCGTCCATCTAATTTTTTGAACCAGGGCCTTTCCGTGGGCTCTGAGGATCGTTGATTAGTGTGGGGTGTGTGGCCAGCAGTCTCAGGTTTCTCTGGATTCTGCATCTCCAGCGCTGGGATTCCAGGTGGAAATCACACGCCTGGCTTTTTTTTTTTTTTTTAATTTCTTTTTTTTTTTTTGAACATGAAATGCTTTTTTATAGCATGTTTTACAAGGGGAGGGGGTAAGAGGGTCCAGGTGGTGGAAAAGTACAAAATCTTCTTGGTCTGTGCCTTGAAACATGTCATGGTCTATATGGTACACTGCCTTGAATTATGATCTACCTGCAGTTCTTCAGAAGATATGGTACACTGCTTGAGTTATGGTCTCCCTGCTATTCTTAAGAAGACATGGTACTCTGCTTTGAGTCTATCTGCAGTTGCTAAGCAGGATCTTGCAGCTGCCAAGCTTCAGAGGACATTGTGCAGGTGGGGAAAGGTAGGGGGTAAGGGTAAGGGCGAGGGTCCTGGCTTCTGGCATCTCCCCCTTCTCTGTTTAGTTAGAGAAGGCTTCTTATGTTCAATCCCAACTATGTGAGTTTTGAATTTGGATGTCTAATTATGGGGGCACGCCTGGCTTTTTGTGTGGTTAGTGGAGGTAGAACATAGATGCTCATGCTTGTGTGACAAACACATTACCAACTGGGGCATCTCATCAGCCCAGGAGCGCCACGGCTATTACTTAGGTATCTGAGACACATTCACTGACTTATCATACATCCCAGGCTGGCCTGAGACTTGAACCCTTTGCCTCAGCATCAGGGATGCTACATTTCCAGGCATGAGATATATTTCAAACTGAAAGTCATAAATAAGTTGAAAATAAAAGAAAAAGATACTCTCTGAAAGCCCTGACCTAGAGAAATCTAGAGGGGCTGTACCAGTACCAAGCAAAAGCAATGTATCAGCACTGGAGGCAGGAGCAGTGTGCACAGAGGCACTTATTGTGCTGCCAGTGACTATGTCACTCAACAGATCTCTCAATGCAATGGCTAAATCTTCCATCTTAAGACACTGGAAGAGCTGGTAGTGATGGTTCATGACCATAACCCTTAACCTCAGGAGGTAGAGGCAAACGGAGCAGGAGGTCATCCTCAGTTACATAACAAGTTTGAGGGCAGCCTGAGCTACACAGGAATGTCTCAAAACTAGTTAGCTGCCAGTCATGGTGATGTATGCAAACATGGAGAGTCCCTGTCTCAACAAACAAACAAACAAACAAACAAACAAACAAAAAATCCCCAATGAAATGTTAAGTAAGGCGTGAGAACGGTGTGTCATGGCCAAGTTGGATTAATCTCAGTGGTTCAATCAATTCCTTATCTAAAAGTCACTTAATAGCCATGCAGTGGTGGCGCACGCCTTTAATCCCAGCACTTGGGAGGCAGGGGCAGGCGGATTTCTGAGTTCGAGACCAGCCTGGTCTACAGAGTGAGTTCCAGGACAGCCAGGGCTACACAGAGAAACCCTGTCTTGAAAAACCAAAAAAAAAAAAAAAAGGCCCTATCTACTCCCATCTCTGGTCATAACTAAATTCCACACACTTTCAACACTTGAATTTTACGCTTATGTGGAATATCTTAATAAAGTAGTAAAATACCACTGCGATGATGATGATGGTGATGATGGTGATGGTGATGATGATGATGGTGATGATGACAGGGTCTCCCTATGTAGATCTGGCTGCCCCGGAGCTCACTCTGTAGATCAGGCTGGACTTGAACTCCCAGAGACAAACCTGCCTCTGCCTCTTTAGTGCTGGGATTAAATGTGTGCACCAACATCGCCAGGCTTGAGATGAGTTTTTAAGGCCCCAATATACTTGTGATTGGAAACTGTTCTTCAGAGAGACCTGTGCTATATGTAGACCCCAATGTCTATTTCTGTGTCCTCTCTCCTGTCTCCTCTAGAGCCACTTGGAGACCAAACTCCTCAAGCAGGAATAACCTCTGCTGACAAACACAGCTAGCTGCCAGGTAGGTCCACACCTGAAATCCCAGACTCCAGAGGCAGGAGGATCAGGAGGCCAAGCTCATTCTCTGCTGCAGAGCAAGTTTGAAGCCAGCCTTGGCTATGTGAGACCTTGCCTAAAAAATAAATTATGCCTGGCAGTGGTGGCGCATGCCTTTAATTCCAGCTCTTGTGAGACAGAGACAGGCGGTCTCTTGTGAGGTCGAGGCCAGCCTGGTCTACAGAGTGAGTTCCAGGACAGCCAGGGCTACACAGAGAAACCCTGTCACGAAAAAAAAAAACAAATAAATAAATAAATAAAAAATAAATTACAATAAGTCCTCCTCCTCCTCCTCCTCCTCCTCCTCCTCTTCCTCCAACAACAACAACAACAAGGACAACAACACCTGGAAAAGATGGCAGAATCTTTGGGCTGCCCCATGAGTGAAGGCTCAAAATGGAAGCAGGGTTCTGTTCTAGCTGAGGGTCTGTTCTGTGACATGGCATTGGAAGCTTTTCTATGACCACTAACCCCACCTGCTGCCTCTCATGCCAGGGATATGCCCTGCGATTCAGAGGACTGAGTTCACCACAGCCAGGCTGACTCCATGACAGGCTGCAAACTGGCAGTTTGGGAGACTAGGCCTAAGTGTCTGTTTCCCAGAAATGAGACCAGGATCCAGGAACCCGTGGTCAGCCAACCACAGCCTCGGATAGCCAATCGGAGGACACCTTGTCATCTGACCTGAAGTAAGAAGAGGTAGCTAGAACGAGTAAGCCACCCCTGGGAAGTCGCCAGAGCCAATTGTAGAACCAGTCAGACCCCTGGAGATAGAGCTAACCAATTCAGGTAAAAGGGCGGTACCCCTCCCGGGAATTCTCCTAACAATAAAAGCTGGGCCTTCAAGTCCACCAGAGGTCTCCATTCCCAACTCCTGCAAGCAGGAGATTCAGCTGAATAAACGCTCTGTTGCTTTTGCATACTATTTGAGTCTGGGCTATCATTCTTCAGCGACTCTTGGACCCTAACAGGGTCAATCGTAGTCATTCACAAGTTTGGGAAAGCTCAACTTCTAGGGCCTGAGGGGAAAGTTCTCCCTCTGCGCAGGCACTCAGGCT